CTGGTTTAATGCTGATTAATGATCTGTTACCACAATTTAAGCTGTTTTAGTAACAGCTTTAAATTGTCCGTTTTTATCCCCTATTTTTTCTTAACAATTTTAAGTTACTATGTATCATTTACCATGTATCACAACTTTCTAAAGTATCACGGCTCAGCAATTTTAAGGGATTTTTTGTAATTAGTAAACTTGTCGGGAGAGATTGTAATTATTGATTTACACTATGGGATTCCTTAAATTTATACATATAACATCCCCTTTCTAATATAAGATCAACACAATCATTTTATTCTTAACACTTAAGTATTTAATTACATAATCACTTATTTGAGGAAAAGTTCTCACCTCAAACACTATATTTTAACTTCTCCCAAATGTATTCTCGTGTCCAAATGTATGATCTAAAGCAGCCAGAATTTTGCAGTTTCCTCAAATAATTTAGGTCTAGTTAGTTTATGACGTAGGTCTCACCTTTAAGTTCTCTTATTAACATTATTCCGTATTGGTTTTACAAATTCAGAAAAATCTCTCATTTTCACACATCAGATTAATGTATCAGCGCATTAAATTAATGTATCTCGAGCAGCATATTAGTGTATCATGTATAAAATGTACATCAGATTAGTGTATCTTGTATAAAATGTAATGTATCTTACTTCTGATTAATGTATCTCGTGTATCAGATTAATGTATCAACGATTATATTATTGTATCGATTTGAGAGATTTTGTAATTATAAACTTATAAATGACAAATGATAATTTGTCTTAAAAGTATGTGATTTCTGTCCTTTGCCTATTTTTATTATATATGAATTTGGCCCACTAACCATCAACTATTAAAATTAATTATTTAATAAATATTTGCCAATTAAATTACCATAGTTATACGAATAGATCAAAATTTTCAAACTAACTTCACCGACCGATCATAAATGACTCGGAATAACTATCGAAATGGGTAAAATGACAATTTTATAAAAATTTTCTAAAAAAAATGACTTTTCGGGTCATCAAATTCTCAAAATAAATCATGTAATGTGCGATTCAAATTTAATTGGGATTCTAAAACAAATATCAAATATTGAAATAATATATCTTTAGTAAATATACCGAACAGATATCGGGGAAAAAAACAATAGGGGGCCATAATGTTGAATAAGCAAGATAAATTAAGGACTAGTTATTTCCATTAAATCAAAATCCAAATAATTATGCATAAATATATCACACATAGTATTGAATCAAAACTTTTGATTATTTGTTTTGTGTGTGTTTTAACAATCATGGTGACAATTACAAATTCTCAATGCTGAGCCAGGGAGTATCTCACAACCACCACTTGGATTTTTCGTCTTGAAATTATCAATACATTTCTGTTCACAACATAGTTCTCCACAAACTTTATCACTGCATACACCAAAAGCTGTTAAGCATTGATCATCTCGTGTTATCATATGTGCACCTATGCTAGCTGTATCACGAATTCCGCTAGTACCTGTTCAAGAACATAACACATGTTATCAACAACATATTCAATAAATTAAATTTCACATATAGATAAGATTAAGAGAAAAAAATAGTGATAATTGATAAAATGTACCTAGTACACAAACAAGGAGGAGGAAAAGGCACAAAGTTGATGAGAGTTTAGCCATTTGCTTGTAATGAAAAAAAAATTATGCAAAAATTATTTTGGAATATGAATATTTATAGGTAGAAAATGTGTAGAAAATCTAAAATCTAATTAATTGAAAAGACATATTTGGTAAAAAACCAAATAGATTAATTATTGCTAGATTTGTACAATCTTTGACTTGACCTGTTTTATTGGGGGAAAAAAAAGGAATTAGCATATTTTCTTTACTATAAAATAATTGTTAAATCAAGAAAAAAAGTGTCAAATCCAAGTTTCACGGCAGTTGATGTAAATAATTTATTTTAATATAAATATTAATAATTATTGTTGCGATTTAAATTCATAGCGTATAAATCAAATAAAATTACCAAGGACTTAATTAAATTATTATAGTACATTAACTTGTATACATAAGTTTATGAGATAATGTCAATGATATATGTAGTTTGACATTGGATGTTATGAATTAAAAAAATGGAAATTATGAAGACCAAAATAAATCTTATCAATAATTGAAGGATAAAGAAGGTATATATCTCTTTCAATATACATAGACAATGTTTTCTTGAGGTTTTTTCTTCTAGAAAATAAGTTTGATTTTTGTAAGTAAACAAGCATAATTTTTTTTTAGAGAATATATTTTCAAAATATTTGACCAATTATAATGTCTATTAATTATTGTAACAAAAAAGTTTATATCTTAATAAAACATATAATAGATAAAAGAATAAAAAAATAAAGTTTCCTATTATTCATTTTAACAAGAACATTAATATTCTTTATATTCCTGCAAAAAATATTCACTTACTTTTGTTTCTTTTGCAAAGAAAAAAATATCTCCATTTTCTAAACATCCCCCACATGAAAAATCAATCATTTATTTTATTTATACAATAAAATTATTAGGTTTGAAGTAGATTTAAAATAATCCATTAAATAGTAGTTTTGATCTTTAGAATTTGTCAAAAATGAGTAATTTTGAATTTCATAAGAATATTTAACAAAATTTTAAGGTTAAATATAATGAAACATAAAAAATGTACTAAAAATTTCAAGACGCAAAACTACATGAACTATAATAGAAATAACCAAACATAACTTATTATGTTGTAAAAACAAAAAACAAAAAAAAGATAACAAAAATTATCAAAAAAGATGTACATGATTCTAAATATGATTTTTTTTTTGGTTTTCTATTTTGTGTTTGATACTCGCGCTAGAGTTTAATTATTTTGATTTTACATTGCGTAGGGCTTCGAAGCCAGATTAGAGGAAAATCTCACATTGGAGGTAAAACGATTTTTATCAAAGGCGCCTCTGTATCAGGGGTACTTGAACCTGAGATCTTTTTGTTAAGGACAAATGAGTACTTATCACTCCATCGTTATATGTGATTATAACACACATTGCTTTAAGTCCACTCTTAATTAAAGATCTCAAATTCAAACTTTGAATATGGAGAAAATTTTATTGATATTTATTTTTAGAGGACAACATACATTGCTTCAAGTTCACCCTTGATCAAAAGTTTGAATTTGAGCAGTGGATATAGAGAAAATCATGACAATAGCTTCATTCTCAAAATTTACCAACAATACATGTTAGGACTTCAATACAAATACTACATATCAAAATAATATATTTTTAATACGAATATCAAATACTAAAACTGTCAAAATGGGTTGCCCCAATCCAATCCAATCCAACCCCAACGGGTTAGGACAAGCTGACCCTTTTAATTAAAGGATCAATAAAATAGCAGCTCAACCTAGCCCTAAGTGGGCCGCAGATTGGATTCGGCTGGTCCTTCAATCAAAAAATAGACAACGTTGGCCTCTTAGAAAGATTATCGAATGTTGATGTCACTACAACAAAAATAATCTTTAGCGGCAATAAATAGATACATTAATAAAAATTGTTAAAGTCTTTACCGGCATTAGTTAACTGTCACAAGATCCAATGTTGCTAAAGCCGTTAGGGACACATACAGAAAGTGTTAATAGCCGCTAAAGCTCATTTTTGATGTAGTGTATATGATGAACACAACATCAATACATGCAAAAATTCATCCATGGATTACACATATTTCAACGAATACTTACAAAACAAAAATATAATAGTCAAGCTACAATATTCATAAGATACGTTCGAGCAAAAAACATTACATGTTCACGATTTTCATAAATAAGACAATAAAGAAGAAGTGGAAAATTAGGCGTAAACATAAAAATAGAAGAGTTCAAAGATTCATAGTTATAATTGAGTAATGGACTTAAAACTAATACAAAATTTTAGTAGGCTAATGATCCTAAAAAGTAAAAGATATAAAAAAAAATAGTATAACTAGATTTTATATTATATTTTAAAGTATTTATTAATAAAATCTTAACAAATAAAACACCACTTAAAATATATATGATAAAAGAATTTAAAATTCACAGCTCAACAGACTAGTGAAAATTAAAAAACAATGAGGGACCATATTGTATATTTTTTTTGTAGCAAAGCTGTATCATTATTTTTATTTTTGAAACAAAAGTAATACTAATAATTATAGGTGAACAAGAGAGGGCAATATTCTGTACTTCCATTTCTTCTTCACATCCAAATACTGATCTGATCCAAAAGAATCAAAGGTAATCAGAAAAGTTTTAACTCTCAGATCTCCTAGAAAAACTCAGATTTATGTATATGGGGTTGTATCAATTTGTGTGTATCTATGATTTTGATTTGAATTTATGGGAATCTGAGCTTTTTTTGGTAATTTTTTGTTGAAAGTTTGGATTTTTATGTGATAAAGTTGAGTTTGGGTTTGTGGGGGGTTGTTAATTCATAGTTGGGTTTTCAATTGAGAAACTAGTGGTTGATGAAAATTGTGATAGTGGGTGTTAATTGTTGGTGATACTAAAGAGAATCGTGATTCAGAAAGGGAAAGTGTGAGTGATGGGGATGCTTTTGTTTTTTGATGAGAGATCTGGGGTGTTGATTTCTTTTTTTGTTGAAAGTTTGATTTTTGTGATGAGGTTGAGTTTGGGTTTGTGTGCTTGTTAAAATTTGTTGTTGTTTGGTTGTTCTGTCATTGTTTGAGGTTTTGGGGGTTTGCTTTAAGAAGCAATTTAGTTGTGTTTTAACAATTGAGAAGCATTGGTTGATGAAAATAGTAATATTAGGTGTTAATTCTTAGTTATTAAGGCTTGATTCGAGGTTTTGGAAGTAAGATGTTATTGATTCAGGAAGGGAGAGTGTGGGTGATGGGATGCTATTGTTTTTGACAAGAGATCTAGGGTATTAGGACTTCAGGGAGTCTCTGTTTGAGTGGGAGGTGAACTTCCTTCAGTTGTTTGGGGCTGATGGAAGAGAACTTAGACATGATGTATGTTTAGGAAAGGTGTTGATGAATTAGTGAGGCAAGGATTGGAGGAGTATAAGTACTTTTGTCAGCACTAGGGGACTCCTCATTCATTTTTAATGGAAAGTTTGTATGAAATTTAGTGATAGTTTAGGAGAAAATGTGGAGCCGTAGGAGAATCAAAATGTTTCTCCACTCACCTCTAGCCGTTAGAGGTAAGAGGAGAACAAAGAGACTTTCCAGCCACTTTTACCAATCACCAACTACATCCCCGAGGTTGGAACAATTAGGAGTCAAGTTCATAAAGGAAAAATAGAAAATGTGGAGCCTAGGAAGATCTCAATTAACTAAAGGAACACACTAAAGAAGGGAGAGTGGAAAGGTCCCTTTCATCCATGGGTTTAGAATATGCAAGTCTGAAATAGTCTCAGAGACTAGAGCTCTTATTTTTCTTAGATCATAAAAAATAATGGTGATTTTGGTTTTGATTCGAAGGAGGAAAATATTATTGGTGTGTGACTTGTGAATATTTCTCTTCCTGTTGTGACGAAGATGATATCTCTTTTTCTTGTGTTTCTTTTCATTCTCCCTGAAAGCTTAATGATGCCTAGTGTTGGCAAAGTAGTTGTATTTCTTCTAATATGTGGTTGAATCATAAATGTCACTCTCCAAGTTTCCCTCATTGAACTGCAAAGAGCAGACTTCAAAACTTTTAAAGCTACGTTAATATTTTCTTGGTTCTCCATGGTTTCTAACACCACTGTTATAGTGGATTCATATGGTTATAAGAAGATTCTAATCAACTTCAGTGATGCACTGATGTTTCTTTTATGAATTATAAATACACTAGTAGGAGCGTCACGGTCTCCACTAATGCTCAAAGTATAATGGATTTCCTCATTTCTGTCGCTTGATTATCAGTTGTGCTTCTTCTTTTATGTTGTTGCTTGGTGCATGATATCTTCGCTAACATATTTGAAAGTTTCTCTTATCTTTAATGTATATGGCCTGCCGCTACATCTTGCTGGTTTCTTGAATCAGGTTTTTCCTGGGATTCTTTAACAAGAGAGAATTACAGAAATGGGTCGTGGAGTCAGCTATGGAGGAGGGCAAAGTTCACTGGGATACTTATTTGGAAACGGTGAGGCGCCAAAACCAACCACGGGAAATGCCCCAGCTGTTCAAAGTGAAGGGCAGGCAATAAATAAGGAGCCAGCTTCAAAGCCTACCGTTTCCGCTACAGTTGATGCTACTAAGCAGATTCCTGCTGGTATTCAGAGCACTGCTTCAAGAAACCATTTTGGGGGAGATGGTCAAAACACAGGCAACTTTATCACGGTATTGCGCTCGTGTTAATTAGTATGATGTCTTTTGAATTGCTTGTCTAGTTCATTTTCATGCCTTGCTGGAGAAATATGTTGATTGTTCCGCGGTAGAGTAATACATAGCTTGCAGGCCGGAATTTCATCTCCGGCGGTGTTTTTAAAAGTAAAAATAAAAAAGCAACAAGGTCGATGGGGCTTGAAGCAAAAAACATGAAGTTGCACACTTCTAGGCATACATGTTGCGGAAAATAACTAGTATCTCAAAGTTGAGATTAGAAGTACTGAGCGCTTCTTAATGGGATCACTTGGCACATATCGTTAGTTGAATTGCACACTTCTCAAAAGCTTAATGGTTTCCACCCATGAAGCAATGATCCCTTGTTTCATATTTCTTCATTGCTTTAAGCGACGGAGAGATGGCTTTTAATAACACTAGTCTCCCGGCTTAATCTCTCTTTTCTTAACCACAATACTTCCATCCAAACAATTGAATAGGAATGGTTTGTTGGATTTACATCTATCAGGTATTGAACTTGTTTTATTAGATTCCATGATAGCATTTTTGCTCAAATGGTACATTTGCACCAGTGTATGAGTGTGCATCTTTGTTGCTTAGGTAGTCTCACTGGCTGTGTTTCAGGTTAGGATAAGTGCTAACACATTCTATTGATGTAAACTCTCCTATTGTGGAGTGAGAATAATTTGTAAGCCTGCGTTTTCTGGGGACTGCTGACTTCCTGACCGACTTATATGTTGTGGTGGATTTTGAGATTGATCTGTGTTGTTTGCTTGCCATGAAAATCCCGCTCAGATAAATATGCTTTAGTTCCTACTCGGAAACTATATTTGTCAATTTGTCATTGAATTATGATGAAACAATTTTCGCCTCTTACAATGGAGTGGGTCTTGTCCTATAATCGTATCATTGATTTCTCAATAAACATGTCTAGTTTTAACTGGAACTATTACCTTGATGTAGGACCGGCCATCTACCAAAGTCCATGCTGCTCCTGGAGGTGGATCTTCTTTGGGTTATCTCTTCGGCGGTGGCAGCAACTAAGCAATTCTCCAATATACAGTTGGATAATTGTTTTATCACTTCTTTACCTTTTGTCTATCAACACTATGTTGTAATTGTAATTGTGAGTACTTCAGGTTGTTGTGAAGGGTTAGTTGCATAAGGCTTTGGTCCAAAGTCCCAGTTGACACCCATGAAACTAAAGTTACTTTCAATGTAATATGCCAACCTTTGTTAATTGATCATTTTGATTGAACAGCTTTTCTTGCCTAAACTTCATATCTATGATTGTTAAGGGAAACTAGACATTGTTGACTACTTGCTAATCTTCTACCATAGTTCTCGACTTTCATATCATGTCCATGGTAAGTTCCAGCCTGCAGGCGTGCCATGTCATGTCTAATTACCCCTCTCTAATACTTCTTTGACCTACTTCCACCTTTGCCTAAACACGTCATAGCTAACCTTTTACACCTCATCACATGTCCAAAACCCATATATTATATCCATTGCAAATTATTGTCCTCATCATTACAAAAACTACAAAAGGTTTGAAATGGATGAGTTATAATATGGTTTCATAGCATGTATTTGGTTGGTTGGTTCTATAACAATGGTGTGATAAAAAGAGCATTTCATCCCACCTTTATAACTAACAAGTACAAGTAACTTAAAAAATGAAAATGAGAACAAAAGAAAAGAACTCACAAAAAACTTAAAAGGTTTGTTTTATCTCTCACTACAATCATATATAGTAGATATATCTACATTTGTTTGTATAGAGCAAATCGCGGGGAATTTTGTAATAGCTTCAAGTCCTCCTCTTCAAAGAGGTACAACGATTGTTGCATTTGGTCTTGGAGGAGGTGGAGCTGGAATTATTCCCCATTTACGACGAACATCTTCCAAATCCTCATGAAAATGTTTTTCATAGTAAACACACATAAGATCTGTGCTACGAGCTCCAGCCTTAAGCGCCCATGGGAAGTAATGCTGGTAAAACAAGCTCCTTTGCTTGTCACTAAACCTTGCTGTACCCCCTAGCACAGACATCAAACACATGGGGAGTAGCATCTGTTCAAACTCTATCACTTTTAGTGCTGTTTCTCCTATTAGGTTTGTTGGAAGGTCAAAAAGGGTGTGCCAGAAGTCATGCACCTCGCGAGCACGCATAGCTACATAGGCTAACTCTTCAGTTTCCATGAATCGCACTGGTGGGCGATCATCTGGTGAAAAGTTCCTAGATCCCATAAACCTTGCGTATGCAGCACCAAAAGTGTTGTCAGGCAGGTCCCATGCATGACCCACATTTGTAGAGATCACACGAGGTCGCTCCAACAGTATTTCCTGAGGTATAATGTAAAAAATATAAATACATCCAAAACTACAATCAATAGACGAAAAATACTTCAAATTTGTTGTAGGGAACTTAAAAACGGATAGAATGAGAAGAGTAAAATGAGATGAAGAGTACTCTAATAAAACGGCAAATGAACATATATCACAAGTTTTATGTTAGTACTATCTGCCTCATAACTGCTAGATCTTTCAGAGTATAGTACAGGTTGCCAGCATGAAAATCACCCCAAACTTTTAAGTTAAGAAAGATGGTCAGAAGCATAATCAATACTGGCTTATCTGTTCCAGCTAGGACAAAACAGAGAACTGATTAGGAAAGCAAAAGAGAAGAACGACACAGCTAAGAGTTTCCAAGCATGCTTGAGCCACTTTGTTCACTGCAAAAGTGAGCCCCTAACTGCACCTTACATCAAGCTATCAAGATACTAAAGAACCACTTAGCTGTACTTCAACACCAACGGCACATGCCTCAAACAGGCAACAGCTACGGACAAGTTCACAATGCTTCCAATTAGGTACATGGTGTAAACAATACAAAGATCCTAAAAGATGCTGAAATCTTAGGGTGACAGCCAAATAACTACATTGAAGCAAGGGACACTAACAGGAGGGCACTTGTCATTGCAGAAAACAAGAAGATGTGCAATTTAGGTAGTTTGCTTGATGAAACAAGGCAGAGTTGGTGAGGCAAAAGAGACCGAGTTAAACCAGCAGTGGGAGATTCCCACCTCAAGGCATACGACAGGACACAGCAGATGATCTGGGACCTCGAGCCTGAAATGATGAATAAAGGGGTGATAGGTTTCTATAAAGCAAGCCATTTGATGGCTTCTTCGAACAAGATTCAAAAATGCATCTGACCAATGAGATGAATTATGGGAGACTCTCAAGGAACTTTAAGAGAGACAGAAAATATGGTGTGTAAGAAGTCAATTCCTTCAAAGCAAAAAGAGGAAAGACGGCCGGTGTTATTGCTGCATATCAATGATGTTGAACAGGCTATAGTTGTTACTGCTTTGTCTCAAGTGATTAAACATTGAAGCTAAAAGGAAGTAAAGATATTGAAATCCATTTGAGGATATTGAAAAAGAAATTGAGGGTCTTTCAAGACAGTACCTTGTCTATGAGTCCACAACCTTGTCTAACATTAAAAAAAAAACTACCATTATTAATCTAATTGCATTTTAAATATTGAGGTTCTTTCAAGACAGAACTAGCCATGATGAGTATGGTTAACAAATCCACAATCAAATTGGATGTCATTGAGAACAAGTAATGCATGGGACAACCGAAACCTGCTACATATAGCTCAAAAAAGGACTACAAACTGCAGCAACTTCTCATTCAGTTGAGGCAAGTAGACATCCCTAAATTGGCATTTGAAGAACTAGGTGATCACTCCTCTCAGAATACTGGAAATTTGGCTTCAATGGGCTGCTTGCAAAGGGTAGGAGTACGAAGAAACCATCTTCTTGTATCAGAAACCAGGTTGTTCTGTTTCATCAATTACTGGCAGTTCATATCTTCATTAGCTACAAGTATATAATTAAAAGGAAGTGAAAGATCCTCAAAACAGGTGCTTTTTGTGAGTTCATAATAACTTCAGTTGTCAGCAAGGTTCACAAGTGACCATCGCCACATAGTAAAGGTGCATTTCAATTATAAGTTGCTATAAAATATTTGAAGGATCAACATACAGTGCCTATACTCTATTCACAGGTTCTAAGTACATCAACACAAATGGAGGGCCCATCAATGTAGGTTAGATTAGAACATTCTAAAAAGTATCCAAGGAAGTGTTTTTCATTCTAATACAAGAATAAAACAGCTGCAAGCGACATCCACTTTGTAGTTAAACAGTTCACATATTTAGATTCGACGCATGGACGTTTGAACGCAACACCTTCTAAATTGCACTACAAAGAACTTTTTTCACAAAATATTATAGGAATATTTCTTTAAGACTAATCAGACAATGGTGATGGGACTAGCAAATCAAATATATAAATGAAGAGCAAATCAAGTAGAAGGCCTTACTCTGCCTTCAGGACTCCTCTTCATCCTTTCAAGAACCCTATCAAAAGCTGGTTTCCCCGTCGTCTCGCCTAAAGCAGCAATAAGATCTGCTCTTCGAGGATCTAACAATGCACCAACTGCAGAACCAACTGCAACAGCAGCCTGCTGCCACCCTTTCAACCTAAAACCACTACCTCGTATCATGACAACCCAATTCTGAAAAACAAAAAATAAAGAAAATGAATCAGGAAACAAAAAATTGAAATCAAAATCCTTACTTTCCTCAAAGCAATTACATAAACTTCAAAACCCTCCAACATATATCAACATAATTCACCAAATGATAAACAAAAATTGGTTTACGCATTTTCACAAGCAGTTAGTGGGCAACAATGAAATTGCAAATCTTAAAAGCAATTAAACATTAGTTAAAGGTTATAATCCATTGATAGGTTGCTATACATTAAGGGGTTGTTAAAACAAATGCTAAAATCACAAGAACTAAGAGTTCTTACCGATTAGACCAACGAAGAGATGCAGAGGGAAAAAAAAAGCGAAGCTGAAATAGGTTCTTGATTTGTTTTGTTTTTTCTTTTGCCTTTTTTTTTTTTTTAGGCATAATACATAAAAATAAACTAAACTTTGTGCGTGCACAAACACCCACTTATATTGCTATAAAACTAAATAAATAAACACATTCATTCTATATGATAATTTTTGTGTTTTACGTGACATCCGTGTCTACTTGTTTAATTTTATACTAGATGATTAAGAGGAACATGTGGTTTTGTTAGCTCTTCGAAAATAGATTCCAAAATTTCACTGAGATTTCATTTTTGATAGTTTTTTCATTAGTTAAAAAAAGTTAACCACTTAAAATATGTCGCAAAATAACAATTTTTCTAATCTCATTCAAACAACAGTTACATACATGTACTCAGAATAATAGCACTAGTGGTCTCTAATAATAGATACAAGAGCACAGTTTATTACTAATGGCTAGCTCGATAGTAATGCCAGGACAATATACCCGAAATATAGGGCATAGTTTATTTATTATTCGCGATGTGGTAGGTAATGGCAGTGTATTCTCATGTACGCAGACCTTATCTCCTACCTCACGTTGTTTTACGTGTACATTAATATATACAAACAGAACTTGAGAACAAGATGCTGAATGTTGCAATTCTGGACATCTAAATTAGACCAGCAGCCAGCATCTTACTCTCTCTCCGTCTCTCTCGCTCACTGTATTGTTTCTCGAATTATCTAAAACTATACATATTATACACATCAAAGCCTGCAACAGACGAGCAACATCTTCTTATATCTTCAGAACAGGCAGCAGCTTCTTCAAGGTTTGCTCAAAGAGTCCTTATTATCCAGAGTCTATATTTCTTTATATACAGATATACAAGACACGGACCAATCAGACTCGCATCTGAAAGGTGTTTGCAAAGGTTAAGGTACGTTTCCAAGTTACCAGATTGTTGAATTCGTCTTCTTAGTCTCTGCAGCACAGCTGCTCGGTCCAGAAAATCTGGATATAAACCCAAGTCGAGCATCTTAATTACTGTTTCTGCAGCATTCTCTAAGTGTCCGCCTTTAATGTAACCTCTTAACAGCCATGACAATGTTTTCTTTTTCTGTAACGAGCTTGAAGCCTCCATCCCGGTAAGCAGCCTTGAGATGGGGCCTAGCTCCTTTTGGGAAGCACATATTGCTAAGACAATGTCATGAAGATCTCCGCTGACTTCCTTGCCAGATATCTTCATTTGCCACAAATGTCTCTCAGCTTCTATTCCACGGCCAGCACAGACATACATAGCAAGAAGCCTCTCATGAACCACCCCGAAAAGAGAAGGGCCACCCTCTTGAATCAACCAATCGGACAACTGT